GGAAGTTAAAGTTAGGAAAAAAATATTGTCAAAATTACTTCGTCATGACGATCGTTGAAGTTAGTCTTTACGGTCTGGATGATCTTTGAGAGACGGGGTTTGTCCTCACTACGAAAATACAAGACAAAAATTCCATCTTACGTTCGGACATTGGTGAAGGCTACGCAGGTGCAAGTCTTGCGACGGACTATGCGCCCAAGCCTGGCCTTTCCCTTAATGATAGCATAAGGGACACCCATTTTTCGACAAAGGGCAGGGAGGAATAGGACGATCTCGATTGGGTCCACATCATGAGCAACCAGCACAAGCTGAGCCTTCTTTTGTGTTATTGCAGACGTTACTTCACGAATGCCAGACTTGAGAACAGCTTTTCGGGCAGCTGGGGCATCCGGGGCACCGTCAGCTCGCTTCTGAGCGCGATGAGTCAGTTGAGCTTTTTTCGACTGCTTGCTCTGAGGCTTGTATTTGTTGCAAAGATTGAAGACCTGGAGAGCTAAATACAAGAAAAATTAAGACGCAAAATGACATACAGGTCGCACGGTCAAGAGCCTCGTTGAACTGATTGATCGGTGGTGGAATCTTCAATCGTTTCTTAAGGACAGCCTTCTGCCTTTGGAGCAAGATATACTTCGGCCATTTAACAAAACGATAGAGATTCCGGCGCGGTTGGATGGCTTGGCCAATACCATAATTCCTCGGCCTCTTCTGGATGAGAGGATTTTTCTTTATGGCCTTCTTAACCTCAGCCACGGTCTTCTTCTTGGCAATCTCAGGCAGGGCTGCTACCTTGGACTTGCTTTTACCTTTTCCTTCCTTTGTTGGCAAGGTGGGGACATCCTGCGTCTTAATCTCCTTTATCTTTTTGGCTTTGATGACCTTCTTCTGACCGACGGGCTGTAATAGGCGAAAAAAGTCAACCTTAGAGAAAGTCAGCTTACCATGCTTGCGTTCACGAACGACCCGCTCAAAAAAGTGTTTAAACGCACTGTTAAAATACCCAAGTTCACACATCAGAACACGTCAAGGACCAGTCAGCGGATTTAAGTAAACAGTTTCTTTTATCCACAATGGTTACAGAAAAATTACTTTCCTTTCACGATTGCTGTGGGACAATGGTCAATTGGTTTTCAATTCTAAATGGGACTTTGTCGGAAATTTTTTAGCCTGCTGAAACTGCTGCAGATAACATTTAGGTTTAATTCAGTAGCTTGGTGCTGCACGAGTTTGTACCCTTATTCTAGCAATGCAGTGTGTTCAACAATAAGCGATGGTTCTCAACGGCAATTTAATTTGCAAGGTGAAGTGAAAAACCGTACTACTGTGGAAACAAGTTCTTCTGTGGATGGATTTATCTGGATTGCTTAGGCAAGGTAGTGTATATTCACCAAAGTTTAGCTGCAGCAAGTCGTTGAATTGTTGGTTTTTGTAGTTGAATGTTGGCAAATGCGCAGTACATACCTTAGGTAACCCAGTCAGATCTGTAGCCCCTACAAATTGGTGACCCCGTTTCTATTGTTATGTAGTTATAAATCCTCTACAAATTTTGGTGACCCCGTTTCTGTTGTTATCCACAGATATAGCCACTACAAATTTGGTGACCCCGTTTCTATTGTTATCCACGTCTTCTAATTCCATTCACCTGTTTTTCCCGTTTGACTCTGCCGTTCATACGTTTTTCAAAATC